TTAGTCAATTTATGGCTGCTCCTCGCTCCACTCATTATGCAACAATACTTTGCATTATTCGCTATGTTAAGGGAACATTGTCTCATGGACTTCACTTTTCTGCTTGTTCATCTTTTGAACTTCGTGCTTATTCTAACACTGATTGGGCTGGAGACTCTAATGATCGTAAATCCACCATTGGATATTATCTTTTTCTTGGTGATTCCTTAATCTCTTGGCGTAACTAGAAGAAGACAATTTCATAATGTTCTAGCACAGAGACTGAATATCAAACACTTGGAGACATCACATCAAAGTTACTTAACTTACATTGGCTACTAGAAGATATAGGTGTTCCTCAACGACCTACTACTAATCTTTACTATGACAATCAAGGCGCCATACAGATTGCTCATAATGATATCTTCCATGAACGCACTAAACACATTGAGGTTGACTGTCATTTTGTTCACCATCATGTTGCACAAGGAATTGTTCATTTGGTTTTCATTAGCTCCGCGGATCAACTAGCAAACCTCTTCACCAAGACTCATTTTCCTAGATGCTTTCGTATTCTTCTTTCCAAACTCAAGTTGCTTTCATCACAATCACCTTGAGTTTAAAGGAGGATGTTAAGATATGAACACATTTATTGTAAATATTTTGGAAAATGATGTGTACACACCCGAATCCAACACCTAGGTGTGCACACTCTGCATAAAAAAAAAAATGGGTTCACAACCAGTCCATTTCTTTTTTTTTCTATGGGGGGTGCACACCCGGGTGTTGAATCCAGGTGTGCACCAATCATGGTCCAAATATTTTATACCTTAAAATATTTTTGTTGTGTATTTTATACCTTAAAATATTATTTTTATGAACATTTATATATAAGTTATTATACATACAATATAATTCAAGAAAACAATAATCATTTTTTCAAATTAATCCTCTTCTTTTTTGTTTCTAACTGAAAGAATATTCCGGAATAAGCTAGACGATTATGACTACAGTGTTGTGAAAGGACAAATTGTTTCATTGTGATTTGTGATTGGGAGAGCAGTGCCAGTGCCTGCCATGTTATCATTTTTCTACTCCTCAAAACTATTTTCTGAGTACCAAAAATTCCCTTACACGCAAGCGGTTAAAGGCAGAACAAGAAAACTACCTCTAAGTGGTACCCTTCTTTTGGAGGTATATTTTATAAATTTTACTAGCCTATTCTTTTTTCAAAATATTCAATTTGTTTATCAGAAAAAATAAATCATTTTGTTTTTGTGTTAAGAGCAACATTGTTACATTACTATGCATAAAAAAATTTGTTACATTACAAAATAAGTCATTCAAAAATGTTATCTCATGCACAATAAAATTTTACGACTACATAAAATGTGTGCATCAATATAAATTTATTTATTTAATATCATATAAACATTGTAAAGTATTATTATATAATTATATAATAAAATTATGGGCATATAAATTTTAGTATCAATTCAATTTAAGCAAAAATGACTGGTTAGGTGAGATAATTTAAAGTCTGTCAATTCTTCATGATGGAGATTATACATTTCACTAACATGAGTTACAAATTAAACAGAATATATATATATATAAAGATATATAGTAATTAATTGAACATGGACAAAATTAAATTCTCTTAAATAATTATCAGTTAACCTTAGTGCCGAATTTTAACTTTCTAGAAACAATTGCTAAACGCTCGATTCCATTTCTAAAATACATATAAAAGGACAAGTATGGTTTTATTCTCCTTTTTCATTTTTTTTTTCCAATAATATACAATGATATCAGTGGATTGCATGATTGTGGTTGGTATTAGTCCCTCCACAAATGACTAAATAATTTCACGAATGCAGTAGTACTAGTAACAAAGTCAGATAAAATAAATAGGCAGTAATTCAAGGATTGAATGATGGATAGAAAATTGAAAACCCATAGAGGTAGGCACCATGTGCCTGCGCTCTTCTACCTCTTTCATCCTTTTTTTCAAATATTTTGTTTGTAGCTCCATTGACACATGCAAGATCACATGCTAGCTTTTGGCCTGTTTTCTCTTATGGGGTATATATGTATGCTACCCCTTCGAAGGATGGCGACTTGACCCCACCCAAAGAAGATACGTAGAATCTCTAAATAAATTGCATGCATCTTCTTTCTTTTTCATTTTTTTAATAGATTTATGAGATTATTCTTCTAATTACATCTAATAAGATTTAAAGATTTAAAGTTTTTATTACTTATTCTTCTCAACTTCTCACTTTAGTCAAAATTCGCAATCATTCATGTTAAAATTGTAAATTTTTTAAGCAATACTACTTTATTAGCTTTTCCAAAGTATAGATCTTGATGGATTCAACCACTAAATTGTCTAAGGACAACAAAACAAAATCACTAGACATTAAAAAAAAAATTATAGATTGCCGTGATTGTGTTGAAGTTAAGAGCAAGGTATAGGATAAAGATTAAAGACCACTAATACACTTTTCATGATATTGATGTGTAGAACAACATTCTTATAGATATTTTTAAAAAAAAATGTGTTTTTAGAAAATTTGATGCAAATATAGCTACATATCAATCAGGGTTTTTTCCTCTAGTGACATTCTCCTCATCTTTCTTTTATCTTTCTGGATGTCACCTTTTTTTGGATACAATATAGCTATAGAAGAAATAATTTTTATTGTATAATTTTTTATATAATTTGTCACTTAAGAATTAGTTTTTTACTTTATTAAGACTTATTTTATTATGTATGTATCCATTAATTTAATTATATGTAAAATTATAAAATAAATTAAAAATTATACAAATAAGTTGTATGCCTATTATTGCACCTTTAGATATCACAAGTTCAATTTTTGGACTATATGTGAAATTTTGATTTGAAATTAAGTTTAGAAAATAATTAAGAAAGGAAGTAAATATCCTTGTATACACACATCAACACAAGTAATAAATAAATAGAAAAGTATAAGTCTGTATTGTAAAAAATTAGGTAAAAAAATATCTCCAAACTATATCATTTTAATAAAGTTCTATTAAAAAAGATTAAAATATCTTAATTATTTTTAAAGTAAGAATAGGGATGTTTTAGTCTTTTCTCGTAGTATTTTATTAAAATAACATAATCTTAAAATATTCTTCTACCTAATTTTTTATAGATCTAACTGATAAACATTAATCTCATAAATAAATATAAATAAACAAATTAAACCAACAAAAAACTTATCTCAATTAGTATCTATTAACTTAAAACTCAAATTAATTTGGTGGTAATATCAAGAGTTTTAACATTTGTAGCGCCAAGTAATTACTTTTCAACATGGCATGCAACATGTTTGGAGGGCATGGTTAATCGCCACACAAATATTTTTTAAGGTTATACAAAAACATTGTAAATGTGTTTAGCTAGTTTAATTGGTAAGAGCAATTAATAATTATCGATACTAATCTATAATATATAAAATAACTAATATTTATTATTTAGCCATTTAAAATTAGTTTACATATTGATATTTTAAGCACTCTAATCATTTATAAACTAATAAAATTAGTCAAATAATAAATTTACAGTATTCTTGTGTGGCATTAATGTTTGGGTGGCATAAACATGGCTATATTTGGACTTTTGGACCCAATAATTTCTTTTTGAGTAGAGCTGTTGTTGAAGTACTGGGTAATCCTACTTGTAC